GTATGTTGCCTCCCTGATGCCGGAAAAGGGAAAAGGTTAAGAAAAGGGAATTGGTTCTGAAAGCAGAATTTAGGGTGATAGGAAGTAGGCTAAAGGACAGGACTCAAAAAGTAGTAATCTCTGGATTAATTTAGGTGTCATGTATAAATGAGTATAGGGATAGCAGGTTAGGCCAGATGAATGCATGACTGGAGAGATGGTGCAGGAGGGGAGGCTTGAGATTTTTGAGACATTGAGACTGTTTTTGGGAGCAGTGGGACCCTTAAAGTCAGATGGGTGGCACCTGAACTGGAATAGGATCAGCATCCTTCAGGGGAGATTTGCCAGTGCTGTTAGGGAGGATTTAAATTAATTTGGTGGGAGGATGGGATCTAGACAGAATGTTCAGCACGGAAAGATGAATGCTCAAAATTAGGAGTGACAGCTAATGGGTCAGAAATGCATTGACATTAAAGGCGACTTATGGCACAAGGGAGTTTGACACAGTTGGAATATATTTATTTTAATGCTAAAAGGTAAAGGTAAAGTTGCCATAATCATTAAAGAGAGACAAGCAGTGGCAGTTCAACCTGAGGACCATCACACCCCTGGCAAGGGACATGGTTGAGAAGGTGGGACCTTCTTGGTAACCTCAGCCAGTGCGGGAATTGAAGGCATGTTGTTGGCATCACTCTGCATCACAAACTAGCCGTAGAGCCAATTTGACCTAACCAACCCCCCCATTTCAATGCCAGGAGTCTGACGAACATGCCAAATGATATGAATGCACAAATTAAAACATAGGCATATGATGTCATTGTTGTCACTGAGACATGGTTTAGAGAGGGGCAGGATTGGCAGCTCAATATTCCAGGAAACAGAATTTTCAGGAAACAAGAAAGGAGGTAAAAGAAGAGATGTTGTAATTTTAATCAGGGAATCTATTACAGCAGTAAGGAGGGATAACATCTTAGAAGGTTCCTCAAATAAAGCCATTTGGGTAGAAGTTAAAAATCAAAAAGATGAGCAATTACATTGTTGATGTACTTTAGACCCCCTAACAGTCCGAGATAAATAAAGGAACACGTGTAGGTAAATTTCAGGAAAACATACTCACTTAGATTGAACATTGCTATGGAAAAGGATAAGGAAAGGCCTGAAACCAAAGTTCTCAACTTCAATAAGGCTGATTTTAATAAGATCTGATATGATTTGGCCAGAGTGGACAGGGAGCAGATACTTTCAGGTAAATCTGTCTCAGAACAGTGAATGCATTCAAGAAATATGGAGAGGACAGAACCAATATGTTCTAATAAAGAAAAAGGTTGGGACCATTAAATCTTGTCAACCCTGGGTATTATGGGATTTATAGCATTGTATTAAGAGAAAAAGGGAGGCTAATGGCAGATACTAAGGGCTCAAAACAACAGAAACCCCAGAAGAGTATAGAATGTGCAAGAGGGAACTTAAAGGGAGATTAGGAGAGCTAAAAAGGGAATATGAAGGGATACTGGCAAGTAAAATAAAGGCAAATCCTAAGGTGTTTTTTCAGGTACGTTATAGGTAAAAGAATAATGAACAAAAGAGTAGGGCCCATTAAGGACCACAATGGTAATTTATGCACTTAGCCAGAGAATGTAGATAGGGTTCTAAACGAATATTTTGTGTCGGTGTTCACCAGCAAGAGGGACGATATACTATAGAAAGTCAGGCAGAATGCTGTGATATAATTAAAGAAATGGGCAATAGATGAAAGGAAATTCTGACTGGTCTGGCAGGCTTAAAAGCAGGTATATCTCCAGAGCTGGATGAAATGTATCCCAAGTTGTTGAGTGAGGCAAAGGAGGAAATAGCAGAGGCACTTGCAAAAATTTTCAATTCTTGTCTAGCCACAGGAGAAATACTTGAGGACTGAAAAACAGTCAATGTTATATGGTTAGTCAAGAAGGGAGCAAGTGTAAAACCAGAAAAATGCAGGCCAATCAGTCTAACCTCGGTGGTGGGGAAACTATTGGAAGCAATTCCGAGGGATAGATTTAATCTGCACTCGGAGAGGCAGGGGTTAATCAAGAATAATCAGTGTAGTTTTGTTAAGGGGAGATCATGTCTGACCAACATGATTAAATTTTTCAAAGAGGTGATCAGGCATGTGGATGACGGCAATGCATTTGATATAGTCTAATTGGACTTCAGCAAGGCTTTTGATAAGGTCCCATTATGGGAGACTGATAGCAAATGTAAAAGCTCATGGGATCCAAGGAAATTTGGCAAATTGGATCCACAACTGGCTGAGTGACAAGAAGCAGAGGATGATGGTTGATGGGTAACTTTCTGAATGGAAGTCCGTGTCCAGTGGGGTCCCACAGGAGTCAGCACTGGGGCTCTTGCTATTTGTGGTTTATAGACATGATTTAGACTTGAATGTGAAGGATTGATCAGTAAGTTCGCATACAATACAAAAATTGGTAGAACGGTAAATAGTGAGGAAGATAGCCTGAGACTACATGAGAATATAGACAGGCTGGGCAAATGGGCTGATCAGTTGCAAGTAGAATTCAATCCAGGAGGGAGTACATGATGGATTGTAGGACCTTAGGAAGTACTGACGATCAGAGAGACCTTGGTGCACATCTACACCAGTCCCTTAAGATATCACAGGACAGGTGGATAAAGTGGTTAAGAATTCATATGGTATACTTGTCTTTATTAGGTGAGGTAGAGTTTAGGAGCAAGGAGGTTATGCTGGATCTGTACAAAATATTGGTTAGGCCACAGCTAAAGTAGTGCGCACAGTTCTGGAATCCACAGTTTAGGAGGAATGTGATAGCACTAGAGTGAGTGCGGAGGAAACTTCCTTGCTTAGCCATGGATGTTTTTCCCCGTTACAATCTTAATATTATTAATACAAATAACATTAAGTACTATTAGGTGAGTTTAATTTGAAGTTTGTTTCAGGTGCCACAGGAAGAGATATCAGTCAAAGATGGAAATAGTTAGTGAATGTGCAGAAATTTGGTGAAAGAAAACCAGTTGCAGTTGTGCCAGCCAAAGCAAACATCTTGGTATGGAGATAATACTAAATCTTTTGCTACGTAAATAATTTTCCTTCTTATTTATTAAGCATTTTATTTAGTGTGTTAGAAGTAGACTTGCAGACTCTTTTGAATGTGTTCAGTCATTGACCTCCACAGGTAAAACAAAGCAAATTTAGGGTCTATCAAACCAGGTTTCAATATGGGATCTGACTTTGTCAATATTAATAACCGCTGAGATCATACCGCTGTTAATTTCTAGACTTTGCATTGAGCTAATATGCAATTAATGCATGAATGTAGGAACCTTATGAAGAACACAAGGAATTTAAATAAGCTGCTGTTTTCACAGCTCCAATGGTGGACTATACTCATAAGCCAATAACAAGAGGCAATTTTCAATTCAGGGCTATATATTGTTGGCAATTTGCACATCAGCAACAGCATGCATCATTCAGATACCTCATACCTTTCAGTAAATCCTGGCCCTACACATGAAACATACAATGTGTAATGGAACATAGCAGTACAAAATAACAGAACAAGCCCGGTTTTTTGGCACTGTACTGAATTTGCAATAATTAGGTAAGTTATGTTAAAATAACTAATTTCAAATATTTGCAGTATTTTTAGAGGGAAAAGGTATTTATAGTATATTAGGAGGCACAATTACTTTATTTTGTTGCCCTTCTTTCACCTACAATATTCCGCCAGCTATTGTCTTCCCCCATCTTCTATTGTTCCAAGGAAATTTGGGATATTGGTAAAACAACTATTTTTTTCTTAGCACAGTTGGAAAGCATCATTCAATATAAAATTCCACCTATCCACCTATTCCACATTCTTTTTATGGACCAAAAGTTCAAAGCCCCTTGAGGTTTCTCCATTTCAAGGACAAGAGAAAAATACAATCTGTGCAGAGAAAAACACAATCTGTGCAGGCAACTGAGAAATGCAGGGAAGGATCTTGCTATGTCAGGACTTCAGCTTTCTTGGCCCATTTGACACTCTGCCAGAAGTACAGGCATCACTGAAAGATAGAGTTAGTGATATTATGTCATCTGTTGTAAGTTATCCTGCGTTTACCACAATTGCCCTAAAACAATGCATACCAACATAAAGTAGGTGTAAACAAGAACCCAATTCCTGTTGAATGTGAGAGCCCGGGAACTGAAAAGGCTCATCAGGCAAGACATAGTATATTCATAAATTAGAGACTTTATTCAATGAAGACATCGAACAATCAAAATACTGGTTTGTAAAGGGCGCAGTGCCCTCAAGGTGCTGAACATCTGCTGTCAGGATTACATAACCTAATCAGGGAACCAACTCATTGTCTGGTCCATTCTAGGTAAAAGTTTTTATTACTCATGCCTGAACAAGACATCAGGAGGAATTTCTGAACTAAATCGGTATTTTGAAAAGAGAACTCCTGACTTCTCATTCAGGGTTAAAGCAAATGCATAATTCCTATATTTGTGATTAACTAAACACAGGCAGTTCGCTTTACACCTGAATGTGTCAATGATTTTGCAATGTTTAAATGCTTTTTTTGCTGAAGACTATCAGCTCATGAAGAAACATTAAAATAGATGCAATTGCATGTCAGTATCTTTTAAACACCTGCAATTCTGGCATTTGACAGGATTCAGTACATTCTCATAGAAATGAAGTCCCACATCCAAATGGCTCCATTGAAATACTTCAGCTGTAATGTTTGACAGAGCATTTTTAAGAATTGAAATATTTAGAGTGTAACATTAATCCTTCATATCATCCCATCAACGTTAAATCAATAATTATGCTGATACTGGAAATATTAATTTTAAAGTCACTACCGCAGTCTACTTCCAATATTTTAGCAAAATTAATAACAATTACACTGATTGAACTGGTCATTAGAAGCAAAGTGAAGTACAATTAGTGGAATCACTCCTAAGAACAGATTATATTGCTGAGATTGCATTTTCTAAAATGAAATTTACTTACCAAGAGTCAGTGATTTATGGGTGGAACAGAACATAATGGCAACTGTGTCTGCAGCTGTGAAACCTGATTTTTTTCTGAAAGAGAAAGAACAGTTGAATATGTCTAAATTAATTTTTATGGCTAAATTTTCATGTAAATATTTGCAGGTGATATATATTGTAACTACCAACTTATATTTGAAAATACAGGTACAGTAAAATATACAAATGTATTAATCCAAAAATAACTCACCTTGTAGAAATGATAAAAGTTAGAAACATGAAACTCAGCTGAAGGAAAAATACTAAAAAGAAAAATGAAAATCGTATTTAATAAACCTCAAGAATACAGAAAGATTTTCAACATGCATGCAGTTTGCAATGTAATTGGAACAGATCTTGAACAACTATGAAGATACATTCATCTTAAATAAAGATTAAATTTAATATTTCCTGTATAGTAAGCTATTAATTGTTACGTTTTGAAACTTTATATTTGAGAGTTGAATCAAGTGCAATGATATTAAAATTTCAAGCTATCCATTGCTCTTTGCAATTTTATTACTGCAACTGAGTACTTTGTTCCAATATTAAACAGAATTATAATGTCCCATTTCATATTTTCTGAAATGTCTATAATTTTTAAATGCGATAGAACAATAAAACTAATTGAGTGGCAAATTAACCAGTCCCATCGTGTTGTTCAAAGAAAGAAACTGTATCTGGCATTCAACAGGATGTTGGCCATCTTGAGCTCTCAGTTATTTTTCTTAAAAGGCAATTTGGAGTTTTTGAAATAACTGATAGAAGAAGTTATTGCTGGATTAACTAATAACAGATTATTAAATATGTATGAAATTGTATATATGAAATATTCATGAAAAATGGGAGTTGTAATGGTGGTATTAGTTTCAGATTGGGTGTAACGTGATGACTGCAACTATTGTTCACAACATAAATTTATTTAAAACAAAACTGAAATCTAGCATTGAAAGAAAAATATGTTAGAATAAATGAACTATTTGAAAGAACAAGAAACTTTTCCTATAAAGTATATAATTTCCAGCTGGAATCCTCTGAATGTGCTGTTTGCTGATTTCAAAAGAGAAGACTCTAAACATTTAAGAGTCCCTGGACCAGGACAGAAAAAAAGAATCAGTCATCTATTCCTGGCTATTCAGTGACCAGAAGTACAGATAACGTCAACCCTGATTGTTATGAGAACTGTATCTACGTGGCTACACACTTCCTGATGGTTTCTAATTAATCCGAACGCAAAGAACATGTGAAATATTTTGGGTTACCAGTATGAGTTCATAATAATATGAAATAAAAGCAGGTTGTCAACATGATTAGCATGAACATATGTCACTTGGTGAGGTACTGAAGGGTTGTAATAATTTGTGCAACTATCCCAACATAAATGATCATTCTCCCAGGAAGGGGAGAAATTCAAAAAATCATGAATAGACAAATGCACAGTAGATGCAGCATAATTTAGACAAATGTGAGGTTATCCACTTTAGTAGAAAAAAACAGACAGGAAGATTATTATCTCAAAGGTGATAAATTGGGAAGGGCGGGGTGCAGGCAGTGAAGATGGCAAACAGTATATTGGCCTTCACAGTGAGAGGATTTCAGTACAGGTAAAAAAATGTCGTGCTTCAATTTTACAGGCTCTTGGTGAGAACACATGTGGTATATTGTGTGCAGTTTTGTTCTCCTTATTGGAGGAAGAATGTTCTGGCTATGGAGGAAGTGCAATAAAGGTTTAGTAAACTGTTTTCTGGGATGGGACGAGAGACTATGAAGTGTATGAATTAGTTAGGACTATATTCATTGGAATTTAGAAGAATGAGAGGGGATCTCATAGAAACTTATAAAAAATTCTAGCAGGGCTAGACAGGGTAAAAGTAGGAAGGATATTCCCAATGACCATGGAGTCCAGAACCATGAGGTCACAAATTATTGATATGGGGTAGGCCATTTAGGGCTGAGATGAGGAAAAAAAATCTTCACCCAGAGAATGGTAAGCCTGTGGTATTCTCTGACACAAAATGGTTGAGGCCAAAACCTTAAATGATTTTTAGAAAGTAATTAGCTAAAGGAGTCATGGGTATGGAGAAAAACAGAAGGAGAGTACAGAGTAAATTGATCAGTCATGATTGCAATAAACAATGGAGCAGGCTTGAAGGGCCACATAGCCTACGCCAGTTCCCATTTTCTTTGTTTCTATGTAATTGAAACAAAATAAGTCAGCCAAATCCATATTTTCTTCTTCCCTGATAGTAAAGATTGTTACAGTTTACTTGCCTGTAGTTAGCTCATCAAATATATGTGCACACAAGAAAGAAACTTATCAATGATTGGTGACGCATAATGAAAATAAATTTAACCTTTTTTTACATTTTGTCTGCAGTTTTAGGTTGTATGGCTAGCACTTGAGCTCTAAGAAAGTAGTCAGGGGGGAACAAGAAGTGTTGAAAATATTGCATCGGCTTACCGCCACTTAAGTCACAGATTTCATCAGACCTGCTGCAGAATCTTGTCCTGAAACAGCTGTCAGTGATATACTTCACAGCAACAAAAAAATTATCATAAAAAGTCTGACCAAGCATTACTTACTTAAAAGAACAATTATCATCAGACTAAAGGTATCTAGGTTAATCTTTGGATTGGAGAAAGTATCACAAAATGTTGAATATATGATCATAAGGAGCACACAACTGCTGATAACTCCAAATGGGGGCTGCTTCCTTTCAAGCCAATCCTTGCTGTATCTTCGTAAAATCTGTACGGAAAAAGAGCATTATAAGTTTGTTTTCTGGAGGGTTAAGTCAGTCAAGTTGGACATCACAAAATAAGTATGACAGCACAGTGGCATTTTGTAGGAATGAAATTATTCAGTTGGTGTCCCCAAAGGATTCCAAAGCTTTTTAGCTGCATAACTGTTCTTCTGAGGAATTTAACATTGTTTGTGGAATTTCCGTTGGGGAACTCAAATGAAAGCACATTTTCAAGTAGATTCAAATCCATCCTTAATTATGGCAAATGCTGTTTGCTAGCTGTCATTGAAAAATGTCCCTTGAGTTTCTCTTAAACTTGCATCCTCCGTTTGCATAAGTTAATGCGCAATTTCTGAACATTCCTCTCCATCAACAAACAATTTCAAGCTCAACTTGGGAACCTGAATTATCTGGCATTTTCTGGAATTTCATAAATCTTGATAATGGAAAGTGATTCTTGGAACATTTTAATATTTAAATAACCAGCATTGTATCAGATGTTTCTATTGTGGCAGCATAAATAACATAATCCATATATTTAAGTATACATTTACTAAATATACCCTCTAACTGTAAATCTGAACCTAAATACCATTCAACATCTTTTAGGTTATCAGCATAATCACTTCAAAACTAACCAAAAGGAAGTAATATGGGTTATCAACACATTTGATAGTTTTAATAAACATATTTCCTAAATGTTTGAAATCATAAATGTTTAGACAGTTTTAAACAAATGTTAGCAACTTACAAAGTTATATTATGAAATTGGGTCCAAAATAATATTGTTGTATGGTATTAAACCTAAATAATGACCTTGAAAAATACTATTCTGGGAATAGATATCATTTCCTCAGCAGAAGAGTCAAGTTTTGAGATGATTTTTAAAAAAATGATTAAACATGAAATTTCTTGTAGCATGTACAAGTATTGTTTCAGATTGCAACATACCTTGTGTGGCCACATTGCAGTGGATAATCATGAAAGGTTAGTAAACATCATGGAGGAGTGCAAAAAAAATCTACAATATAATGTTCCACCAGTGTAAATAATGCATTTGATTACTGGTCAGTCTGTAATTTCACCAAATAGAACACTTATTTGAATCTACGTTCTGAATCTGAATGAAGAGTTAACCATTTTGGTAGTGACATCAACCTAAAGTTTTGCTGGGAAAAGACAAAGTTTGTCAAACGTTTGGACTTGCACCCATCAGGATAATTCTCAAGAAACATCAAAGTAGAGAGTTGCTGTCACTATTACAAACATACCTTATTGACCCATGCATGTATACTGATTCGTACAGTTCCATTCACTATCAGATTGGTCCTTAAAGGCAACTTCACAAATAAGGTGTAAAGAATTTGTTCTGTATGCAAGCTTGTTGCTGAGATAGGGTGCAACAAAGTTATGCTGCAGGATAATGAATACTCTGACCAGATCATTTGAAGCATTCAAGAGGGCATTGGACGGCGTTGGAAAGAAATATAGTGCAAGGGTATGGGGATAAAGCAGGACATTGGTACTAGGGAGTGATACTCATTTGAACAGCCAATGCAGACACAATGGTCCAAATGGCCTCTTTTCTGCACCGTAACAATTCTTGATTTCTCATTGCATTTTGTGCAAGAATCATGAATGGGCCAAAGGCAATCATTTTTCCTCCAACAAAATACCTAATTTACCTCAGATTGAGATAAGGTGTCTCACAGGTTTGAGCAACAGATTTTTTTCATTGCGCTACTACGCTTAAGCAACATGAGTGGTGCTTGCCACAGACAGGATGCTGTCGTCAAAGCAAAATGATATTTACCTGTCATGCAATGAGGAATGTGGTAGATGAATTTCAGTGGCAGTGTGATGCCAGCTATGTAGGCCTTACCTCCTAAAGACTGGTGGATTGTGTTAAACAACATATTTCTTCAGCTGTTCACAATAAGCAAAGTACTGACTGTACCCAATCAGCCCATGTTTGCAAAATTCCCACAGTGCCCATATCAGATTTGATTAAGATTTACTAAGGTAATTCAAAACACTCAAAGGAATATGGCGAAAACAAATTTAGAATGTTTTTAATCACTGGTGAAATGTGGGCATTGCTGGCTGGTCAACAGGCTGGTTAAGCTGGAACTTTTTTCACTGGAGCACAGGTGGTTGAGAGGTGACCTGAAAGAAGGTTATAAAATAATGAGAGGTATAGATAAAGTTGGTGGTAGTTCTCTTTTCCCTACGATGGGGAACTTCAAGACTAGGGGCCACATTTTTAAGGTGAGAGGACAGAGTTTTAAAAAGGACATCAGAGGCAATTTTTTTTGTTTTACACAGAGGGTGGTTTGCATGTGGAACGAACTTCCTGATGAAGTAGTGGATTCAGGTACAATTACAACATTTAAAAGACATTTAAGATGGATATATGAATAGGAAAGGTTTGAGGGATATGGGCCAGGAGCAGGCAGGTGGGACTAGTTTAGTTTGGGATTATATTCAGCATGGGCTGGTTAGACCAAAGGGTCTGTTTCTGTGTTGTATGACTCTATGGCAGATTTTTTATTGCCCGCCCCCAGCTGTCCTTGAGAAGGTGGTGGTGAGCTGCCATCTTAAACTGCTGTAGATCATATGCTGATCATCAATGCCCTTAGAGAGGGAATCCCTGCATTTGAACTGAGCGACATTTAAGGAACGATGATATATTTTCAAGTCAGGATAGTGAACAGCTTGGAGAGGAGCTTGCAGGTGGTGGTGTTCCCGTGTATCTGCTGCCCTTGTTCTTGAGACGGAAGTGATAGTGGGTTTGGAAAGTACTATCTAAGGATCTTTGGTGAATTTCTGCAGCGCAATTCTGCAATTTCTTTGTCCTGCTTTGTCCTGGATGCTGTCAGGCTTCTTGAATGTTGTTGGAGCAGTACCAATGCAGGCAAATGGGGAGTCAGGAGTTGAGGTCCTCGCCGCAATATTCCTAATCTCTGACCTGCTCTTTAGCAACTATGTTTATGTGACATGTCCAGTTGAGTTTCTGGTCAATGGGAACTCCCAGGAGGTTAATAGTGGGGGATTCAGATGTTGGTAATACCATTGAATGTCAAGGGGTTAGATTGTCTCTTATTGGAGATGGTCATTGCTTGGCATTTGTGAGGCGTGAATGTTACTTGCCACTTGTCAGCTCAAGCTTGGATACTGTCCAGATTTTGATGCATTTGAACATGGATTGCTTCAGTATGTGAGGAGTCATGAATAGTGATGAATATTGTGCAATCATTGACGAATATCCGCACTTCTGACTTTTTGATGGAGGGAAGGTCATTGATGAAGCATAGGCCTGAGGAACTTCTACAGAGATGTCCTAGAGCTGAGATGACTGACCTCCAACAACCATCTTCCTATGTGCCAAGTACGACTCCAACCAGCAGAGGACTTGTCCCTTGAGACCCAATGATTCCAGTTTTGCTAGGGCTCCATGATGCCACACTTGGTCGAATGCAGCCTTGATGTCAAGGACTGTTACTGTCATCTCATCTGTGGAATTCAGCTCTTTTGTTCATGTTTGAACCAGGGCTGTAATGAGGGCAGATGCTGAGTGGCCCTGGAGGAACCCAAACCTGGCAAAACTGAGCAGGTTATTGTCGAGCAGGTGCTGCTTTGATGACCCCTTCCATCACTTTACTGGTGATCGAAAGTAGACTGATAGGGAGATAATTGGCTGAATTGGATTTGTCTTTTTGTTTGTGTACAGAACATACCTGAGCAATTTTCCACATTGTTCAACAGATGTCAGTATTGTAACTGTAGTGGAACAGTAGAAACTAGGGATTGGCAAGCTTGGAGCACAGGTCTTCAGTATAATTGCTGAATGTTGTCAGGGCCCATATCCTTTGCAGTATCCAGTGCGTCCAACGACTTCTTGATACCGCATGGAATGAACGGAATTGGCTGAAGTCTGGTATCTGTAATGGAGGAGGCTGAAGTGGATCATTCACTTGGCATTTCTGGCTGAAGATGCTGTGAATACTTCAGCCTTAACTTTTACATTTATGAGTTGGGCTTTTCTCTCATTGTGAATGGGAATATTTGTGGAGCCTCCTTCTCCAGTGACTTGTTTAATTGTCCACCACCATTCATGATGGGATGTGACAGGGTGGCATGCTGGCTCAGTGCTTAACATTGCTGCCTCACAGTGCCAGGGACCTGGGGTCAATTCCACCCTCGGGCAACTGTCTGTTTGGAGTTTGCTCATTTTCCCCGTGTTTGTGTGGGTTTCCTCCTACAGTCCAAAGATGTGCATGCTAGGTGGATTAGCCATTGGGAAATAGAGTAGGCGGTTGGGTCTGAATGGGAAGTTTTTCAGGGAATCGGTGTGGACTCAATAGGCTGAATAGCCTGCCTCCACACTTTAGGGATTCTATGACTATAGAGCTTAGATCTGATCTGCTGGTTGTGTGATTGGTTAGCTCTGTCTAGCACTTGCTGCTTATGGTGTTTGGAATGCCGGTAGTCTTGTTTGGTGGGTTCATCAGGTTGACAGTTTATTTTCAGGTAGGTCTGGTGCTGTTCCTGACATGACCTCCTGCATCTCCACTGAACCAGGGTTGATTCCCTGGCTCGATGGTGGTAATGTTTGAATGGAGGAATATGCTAAGTCATGAAGCTGCAGATCGTGTTGAAGTACAATTCTGCAATTAATAGCCCACAGCGCTTCATGAATGTCCAGTCTTGAGTTGCTAGGTCAGTTCAAAGTTTGTCCCACTTAGCATGGTGATAGTGTCACACAATACGATGGAGCATTTTCAATTTGAAGGCGAGACTGTCTCCACAGGACTGTGTGGTGGTCACTCTTAGCTATACTATAGCGGACAGATGGATCTGCAGCAAGGGGTGAAATATTTGGGGTGGCACGGTGGCTCAGTGGTTGGCACTGCTGCCTCACAGCGGCAGGGTGACTGTCTGTGTGGAGTTTGCACATTCTCCCTGTGTCTGCGTGGGTTTCCTCTGGGTGCTCTGGTTTCCTCCC